GACGTGCCTTGATCGCTGAATCGATGTTTTGGGAGAATACGTGCCCGAGCATTAGATGGGCATTGACTGGCGCAGGAGCCAGCGTTTCTTTAGAATAGGAAAATAGGAAAATACTTGCAAAGGGAAGGATAGAGATCAATCTGGCGTTTCATATACTTCCTTTTTGTGCATTCTCCCAAAAAGTCGACTCCGCGATTTCACGATCCTCCTGTTTACCACCTATACTTTCTCTTGGCGCACATTCTGGGACTCGCCTATTCTCTTCAGTGAGTAGGAACGGGGCTCTACCGACCATGGATGGAGCCGCAAACCATATGGAAATTTGAAAGGAAACATCAATACTGTAATGGTTGTACGAATAAAACGTAATTGCTACTTTGCTAATTGCTGAATCTCACGATAATTTGCAACGGTCAGTGCAGAGATGGTTGGCGAAGTTTCATTTTCTTTGATGAATGTTTTCAAGTCCTTCGTGTCGTGTCGTGGTCGACTTTTTATTACAATAATATGGCTGTCATGTAGGATTAGGAATAACTGTTCCCTGGAAATTGCTGACTTTAAATGCCTAATTTAGAGCAACTCCGAATCGAACTGCTAACTAAATCACCGCCTCGTCCCGCAGCTGCTTCTACACCTTCGTCAAGCAAAACGTCGAGCTCAGAAACTCCTTCTATAAAAAGTAAAAAGTCGAAGGCTAAAAATAATCATTCTGTAAGCGTTATCTAGGTTATTGTGCTATGGCGTTATTTTATTTTTAGGTTTCTTTTTTTCGCAGAAAAGCGTTTCTTTATAGGATGCCAAGGGCAACCAATCAAACGCAGCATTACCTGGAAATATATACGCCCCATTTGCAAAGCCGTGTCCTCATTGCAATTGCAAACGAGTACGTGTGGTGAATACGGGTCGACTAGACGGTCGGCACATCATGGAATGTACTAACAGAGACTGTCTGGCGACAGTAATGTTTACTGATGTTCCTGTTGGAACATTGATTAATCCTGGAGGCTCTGTGAGTATAGAACTACCCTATCCACTCACTTCGTGAATCCATTTTTTTGACGATCTGATTTTTTAGCTCGAAGAGTTCACTTGGTACGACTTGGATCCTGAGGAGATTTTCTATCCCAGCGCTATCACGTTGAAACGCTTGGAAGAGAGGTACTTTCCACATCCTGCGGAAGAAGTGGGTGTGGTTGCGTGCTTCATTTGAACCTGGTGGCAGATGTCCTCTCATGGAATCTTTCGTTGTGGGACAATTGCAATCATGTTTTTGTCCAGCAAAAAAGAATATGACAGCTGTCTCAAGTGGAAATATCCCGT